CTAGTTGTCCCGCCTACCGGAATTCAAAGGCTATCTCCTGTCCTGACTCCAGTTTTTATACCACGTTTTTCGTGATTTCTTCACTGTTATATGATATGAGTACTGGATGACGCGAAGAGACAATTAGGTAGCCAGAGACGGCAGGGTATCGCTTTGCTGGCATAAAACGCGTAGGTCCAGAAATCTCGTACAGACAGGCTGTCAGGTCTTTTTAGGGTGTTCTTCATGTTTTTTTCTCTCTGATTTTTTCCCTCTGCAGAGCCACTTAGCGGCTATAGTAACTGAACGTCACTACCACAATATGCAATCGCGGTGTTTGTTTTTTTAACAGCGCGCACAGGAGGGTACTCTACCATCAGAACCGTCCATTACTGATTCATCCGTTTCGCAAGAAAAGGCACGAAGAGTTACTTCGTGAGAACTTTGACTTACACACGTCTGAAAGTAACATGAGATGATACCCGTCACAGTAGCATCGCTTTTGTTTTGAAGTGTTTTTGCAGCAGCTGTCAGCATGAGCCAACTAAGCAGGAAGAGCGGCTAGCCACATTGGTTGATTAAGCGTGTAACTAAAACCTTGGGCAAAATGTTGGAGGACATGAGAGATTTGGCGTAATTTGAAGGGATGCAGAGATAGGATTACAGACCACTAATGCAAGATATGCAGTTCCCGACTGCAAGACCTGCAGCTTCCGATCAGCTGTTTTGGAACACAATAAGGAACTCTCTAGCATATGTGTGGCAGCTGACCGTGTGAAGGTCGTGGAATCGAATTCTCTTCACGCCTTCGTAAAACCTGACTAAGCTCCTGCGGGTACTGGTACTTTAGAGCTTCTTAATCCTCTTGCCATTTTTACTGTTTGTTCGGTTCTGTTGAAGATTTTTTCCTTCTGTGGAGACAGAAAATTAGGCTTTAAATCCTACTCTCTATGGGTGTATCTTACCGCCATTATGCTGTGAGCTTCTGCTTGTCGAACGTCGCCGTCATTTTCATGAGTGTTCGGCAGCACTAAGTACTACGTGCATAATAAGCAAGTCATTTCCGATGGAAAAGTCAACTGTCTCCATTGGCATGGTATTTAGTAAAGTTGAGACCGTTAGCGCCAGCGACCGACCTGAGTTGATCACTGATCCACACGAAAGCAAT